CATTTTGAATTTAAGACACGCCTCAATTTTTCAACGGGTGACAAAATGTGAAAATGTGCTCACGTCCTCGCAGGCTGGCGTCTATCCCACAATATTCGGCGTTGCTAGGCAACGACTTACACTAATAGGAGTTCCTCCGCCAAGCGGCTGTCTCGACCTCGACTTCCACTTGACCCTCGACTGACTTAGCTATGTTTAGGGTCTCTCTCTCTCTCTCTCTCTATATATATATATATATATATCAAATTCCTTCGGTGTTGTATGCATAGCTGTTGCTACGCTGACGTGGCGTTTACTGTGCCGTAACCTAGTAATGGACGTCTCTTATTAAATTATTCCGGCTTTCAGCGGACATGCCACAATGTCTTCAACGTGTGTCTTCCAGTCGCGGTTATTATCAATGTTCAAAAACTCTTTATTCTGCGCATGTAGTCTCTTCAATTCATTTTCCATTATACTCTCGGTTACACTCATAGTGTGGGGAACCATTCGTTAGAACTACAAGTAAAGAAAAAGCTATCCCTGTAACAGGCCGTGAAGGCCCATAGGGTTGTGAGACGTTGAGGGTCCCACATTTTATCTAGACAATCGGCTCAAAGATGGCGGTAAGGTTGTCAGCCTTATGCGCCGGCCGCGCTTTGCTCCCAAGGATAATTATTTAATTAATTCCTGGTACTCATTTCTGTTGTACGTTTGTTATATTAAGATTTGGGACCAAACTATTAGAAGTCAGCAGCAAACAAATTATTACGTCAACCAAACTGATATAGACACGTAAGAACAAATTTATCTAATCAGTGATCGTGTAAAAGACATTAGGATATATTTTTAATGCACCCGATACAGAGAACACAGGAGCGTGTGACAGCCTCCTTAATTTTCGCTGTTGTATTTTTTTTATTGCTAGTCAGGTGGGACTAAGTCCCTTGTACTGCGGTCAATTCTGGCCTATTGTACCAACCACAGATGATAGGTGAGGGTGATTGTGTAGCAATTGGTGGAATGAAGATTGGCAGGGGAAATCGAAGTACTCGTAGAAAACCTGTCCCAGGGCCACTTTGTCCACCACAAATCCCACTTGACCGGACCCGGGATCTAACCCGCGCGGCCGCGGTGGGAAGCCAGCGACTAACCACTTGAGCTATGGCGCTTCGCTGTTGTAAAGACACTAAGAGTCGTGCTTACCATAAGGCGCCTTTTTATGCAGTGCACTAAGTTGCTCACTTCTCTCGTCCTTCTTAGGGCCAAATGTTTGCCTAACGATTTTTTCTCATATATCTCTCATTCATGCTATTATGCGTGTAGACGGAGCGCCGCGTTACACACCCATGCAGCTGACATTATAGCTGCTGAAATGCTGATCTCCTCTGTTGGCACACAAGCCAAGTCGAAACGCTGCATGCCATTTTTACAAGATACAATATGTTGCATACCGAATTTAATTACAAAGAGGTTATATCTCTTTATGACAACACCCATGGGCGGACCACGTTCATAAATAATGCAACACATATCACAAGCTTATTGTTGCCAATACTTTTGCAAAAATATGAGCCAAAATATATAATCAAGTTTATTTTCCTCTATGGCTCTACAGTTGTTTGGAACTTGGCCATTTTTTTTAAGTTTCTTGATCCTATACACGGTCGGTAGGACTCCTCGGACGGAGGATCACCCCATCGCAAGGTCTCTACATACACACAGAACAACACAAACACAGAATAAACGCACACAAACATCTATGTCTCGAGTGAGATTCGAACCCACGATCCCAGTGTTCAAGCGAGCGAAGAAGGTTCATGCTTAGACCGCGCGGCCACTGTGATAGGCTATAAGAAAGTCATTAGACTAGAATTCAATTTATCAACGTCTAATCCACGCCTGCGTGTTAGGATTTCGTTTCGTGTGTCAGTGATTTTGCTAGTGGATTTCCAAAACTAATCTCTAAAAAAATTTGCGACATCTAAGTAATGTTATCACCGCCGATAGTTCAGTCACTAAACTAAGGAAAGGTGGGTCCTTATCAGTAAAGTTTGAAGAACACTGTAGAGAAAATAATTTATAGTAACAAGAATCTTCCTTAATCCATCGCCATGGGGTTCAGTTCCCAACAGTGACAGCGATATTTTTCTTCGCCACTTGCTCCAACTGCATGCTAGCATTTCCCCCTATAGTAAAGCTGCCGGAAAGTGAACTCCACCTAGCGCCAAGGTGAATAATGGCTGGGATTCTAGCAAATCATTCGAATAAAATATACTGATGCATTTCAAACTGAGGGGATACTTATTTACTCATGGAGCTGAGCCCTTCTGGAGGAGCCGCCAATTCTGCAGCTACTCAAGAAATTTCCCAGCATTTTATGGAACCCGAAGGTTCATTACCGTGTTCACAAGAACACTCCAGATCATTCCAATCCATACCATCCCATCCTGTCTCCCTAAGATCCATTTTAATATTGTCCACCCACGCCTTGGTATTCCCAGTGGTCTCTTTCCTTCTGGCTTTTCCACCAATATCCTATATGCATTCTTCTTCTCCCCCATTCTTGCTACATGCCCTGCCCCCTTCATCCTCCTTGAATTGATAATTCCAGTTATTCTTGGAGAAGAGTACAAGTTATGAAGCTCCTCATTATGCAGTTTTCTCCAACCTCCTGTCACTTCATCTCTCTTCGGTCCAAATATTCTCCTCAACACCCTGTTCTCAAACACCCTCAGTCTATGTCCATCCCTTAATGTCAGAGATCAAGTTTCACACCCATACAGAACCGCAGGCAAAATTATAGTTTTGTATATTCTAATTTTTATGTTATTGGACAACAGACGAGAAGACAAAAGGTTCTGGACTGAATGGTAGCAAGCATTACCCGAGTTCAATCGCCTCTTAATTTCCTTCTCAATCAGGTTTCGATCTGTTATCTTCGTTCCCAAATATCTGAACTGTGTCACATTTTCAAAACATCTATTTTCTATTTTTATGTCATGATTTTGCCCTTCTAGACAAAGTTCCCCAGTTGCGTGGATATAGTTATGAAAAATACTGCGGCTGCAAGACCAAGTCTCTATGAACATTTTGGGTTTGGGGGATTCGAGGGCGCTGTTATCTTTCGTGAAAACCCAAGTAGCCTATCCCCTTATTAATAAAAAAAACTAACGTTCTAAGCCGTTGAAAATAAGCTAAATATAGAACATAGAAATGTGTCACAAAAGTTTAAATTACTGGTTCTATGGAAAGTAGAATTCTGGTTTCTCATCTCACTGCAGCCCTGCCCCAAGCAAATGTGGATCTCCTGGTACACCAGTCATACATTTTTCCGTGAGTGAAAGAATTAATGGATGAAAGTCGAAAATAACTCAAATTTGAGATCCGCTATAGGCAAAATTTAGATCAGCGAGAGATTACTATAAGTAAAGAACGTAAAGATATCCCTGTGCTTAACTAATTTAGCACTACGCCGTGAAGGCGTATGGGGGCATTGATGTATAGATCCATATTTTCTTGACCTCGGCATTAGTTGGAGGTGAATGGTCAGCTTCACGTCCCGGCCGCTTTACCCCAGGGGAAAGGGTTCCCGGTACCCATTGGATAGGAGGCTGGACGACGTGGAGAAGAGAAAATTATCCTACCAAGACTCGAACTCCGACCCCTCGATCGTCCAGCCTGTAACCAGTCGCTATACCGACTGCGCTAACCCTGCACTTGAGGGATTACTATACGTAAGAATAATTAATTAAGATTGATTGTTAAAGGAATCAATGCAGAGCGATGTTTATATAGGTGCAGACATTTGTCAGGGGGCTGTCTTATTGGTAGAGTAATTAATTATTTTGTCTGTCAAAGAATGAAGCTTACGCTGTATTTCATCAGTTTACTGTCCGGCGTGTGCAGTGTTACAAAAAATTCGCAATGCCACTGTAGAATAAACACGCATGTCGACAGCGACCGTCATTAATCACAGGGTACGAGCACCACGTAACTACACTCAGTTTGAACTCCATTAATAATATAAAATCATATGAATGCATAACTGTTAATCCATACTACGTATTAACACAACCACAGTTTTCATATCAGGTATTCTGCATGTGTTACATACTAGAGAACAAGAGGGAGTACAGTGGTAAAATATATCAACTACAGGGGCCAAAAATTATAATTATCTTAAATTTTTCGAAAGACAACATTTCCGCCGTCATTTTTTTACTGTCCTGCCATTCGATAATGTGGCTCTGGCATTCATGCGACTAGCATCATCTTTTGAGGGGATGTCACGCTACCCGCCATACATTATAATTTGCTTCAGCTTTGAAAATATTCGTACATAACGTCTATTAAATTGTGTATACATTTTATTGGGCCCCGCTGTGTTTACAACTTCAAGATAGCATCTGATTCAAAAGCGTAGTGTTACAGGCTATAAAATTCTCATCCGGTTTCACTGCCAGGGAAATTTTGACTGTGGTCTTCTGGCTTGTGACACCGTGTAGCTCCAATTCCTATCTAAGTATGGCGAAAATGGATTCATCCTAAACGCTGGCATTCAACTATGAGGCATCGTAACTCATGACCACAGTACGAACATAACGGAAATGGGTAAGATTTGAGGTTCTCACGGCCGTGACTATGAAGAAAACAGTCTTCTGGGATGTGACACCACACCTACGCGGCGCCGCATCCCAGAAGACTTCATAACGGAACTTCATAACTTCTTCATAACGGAAATATGTTTAAACGAAACCAACAGTAAATGTCATATAAGTTAACGTTTGATTGACGCATTTCCAACTCATAATGACCGAAACCCTGATGTTTCATCGACAGTACTTTCAAACTTTGTTTTAGAATACGTCGAAGTGGATTAAAGTGAGTGGTACACACCAACTTCTGCTCTCGGCTTATGTAGGACAGGGGGAAATGTCAAATTATGCACTGGAAATTTTTGTTTCACAACAGAGACGATGCCTAGTCTAATTCTACCACAGAGCTGCCATGTTACCTACCTCAGGAATAGAAGACGAGACGGGACGGACTCGATGTCCGTTGGAGGGATCTCTCTTTTCAAATTCTGAACCAGAATCGCCTTGCAGCCCACTCTGCTTGCTACACCAGAACACAGTCAGCTATTTTTCCGAATCCAATGAGCAGATTGAATCTGAGGAATCCCCTTTAGTTCAGGATATTTTGACTCTCCGTCAGCTATCTGAAAACAAAAAGATTACAATATACCTGTACGAGTACATACGGACTAATGATAACATTCACAGCGCTGTATGGGATTGAAACGTGGTCTTTCACAGTTAGCTGATGTTTGAGCACTGAGCGATTAGGATAACATTTGGGCTCATAAGCAGTTTATGGGAAGGTGAAGAAAATTTCTTGAGGAGTTTTATATGTAATATTTTTCACCAAATATTAGTCAGCTGGTCAAATCAAGGAGAATGAAATGGGCGGAGCTATTAACACAAGTGAGAGGTATGAGATACATACACAAAGCTTTCGCCGGAAACCTGAAGAAAAAGAACACTTGAAAGAACTAAGCATAAATGGAAGATAATATAAAAATTGTCTTAAAAATAATGTGGAAGGTGTGGACTAGTTCAGGATAGGAACCAGTGATGATCTCTTGTGAAAGCGGCAATACAATTCAGATTCAAACATATCATGATTAGGTGAGCGACTATCAGCTTTTGAAGAAGAATAATGCTTACTATGGAGAGTAAGTTAAACGCAGAAGGGCACAAGTGTCAAGCTGATCATTCTCTTTCAAATAATGGCGAGGTTAAAAATGCTGAAGTTTTATCTCCATTCCTCTTAAACACCTTCAGGGAACGTTCCTCAGCAGCAAGGCAGGTCGCGGTTTTGGGTTTGTGGAGAAGGATATTTCCAGTAAGAAAGTGAGGAAATAATGGAACACTTTAGCCAGGACAGCTGCATACGCGGCCACGGTTTAAACCGCGTATCTGCGGGTTACACGTGTGCAGCGTTGCAACAGCTTCTCGGCTTCATTTCGGATAATTCCAGGGTAAACGTCACACCGAGACATTTTTCCGATTACTATAATTCTTAAACGGCCATACTCAGTGTAGAGGCGGGTTCGAATACCAGCACCGTAGCCCTGAGAGTCGTAGAATGCGACGAAAAGGGGATCCAGTGCCTGGGGGTATAATTGGGTCACTCTGTTCCTCGGGACCTGGTCCTCCAGGTTGGGTGGTCTCGAATCGGAGACAGTAAAACTATGGTCATTAGTCCCGCGGGACTCGAACTTCAGAATGACTGCGCTGGCAAGGACCAGATACAATTGTAAACGACAGACCCGTCCTCTCGTCAGAGAGGATGTTATATGTAAGGACTACAACTGCGAGTGTTCAGTTGAAAAAAAGAATTACTGGCCGTGAGTCTCAAGGGCTTGGCGCCAAGACGAACTGATTGGCGGTAGACTCTGACTCTGGGAAAGTGTTTGTGAACTGACTGGCCGTAGACTCTGACTCTGGGAAAGTGCTTGTGAACTGATTGGCGGTAGACTCTGAATCTGGGAAAATGTTTGTGAACTGATTGGCGGTAGACTCTGAATCTGGGAAAGTGTTTGTGAACTGATTGGCGGTAGACTCTGAATCTGGGAAAGTGTTTGTGAACTGATTGGCGGTAGACTCTGAATCTGGGAAAGTGTTTGTGAACTGATTGGCGGTAGACTCTGAATCTGGGAAAGTGTTTGTGAACTGATTGGCGGTAGACTCTGAATCTGGGAAAGTGTTTGTGAACTGATTGGCGGTAGACTCTGAATCTGGGAAAGTGTTTGTGAACTGATTGGCGGTAGACTCTGACTCTGGGAAAGTGTTTGTGAACTGATTGGCGGTAGACTCTGACTCTGGGAAAGTGTTTGTGAACTGACTGGCGGTAGACTCTGACTCTGGGAAAGTGTTTGTGAGTAGTGAAATTGGAATGTTGAACTGTCGCGTGTGCGTGTCACTGGTTTCATTCTCTTTCAAAATGTGATTGAAGCACTTCAACATTATCTAATCTAATATAATTGTTGGAGATAATTCTTAAAAACGTGTATGTAGTTCCATCATGCGCTCTTTTTTCGTAGAAGTACGTGAAGACCAAACGTCAGTCATGTTCGTTCTTTCGTTCCAGTGTGGAGTTGTCTCGTTAGCGCTCTTGAGAGATTACCCACCGGAAACAATGTGAGAGTCCCTTTGTCATACTCTAGCATAAAAATGTTATTTAATAAACAATTTTTATCCAGGAGAATGAATTAAAATTTTATAAAATTTATGAAATGGAGAGTTTTATTTTAATGCTGACACACAAGTCTAATTAGCCTACTGTCCATAACTCCTCCAGTGTACCAAACAGGTACTAAACGTTTCTGTCGTTGACTAGAGTGAAGCACAGATGGGGTTGGAGCGTCGGCTCACCATCCTGACCTTTCTTTTAAAAATAATATTGTTAAAGTAGGGGTGTGACGAATGGGGAAGCAGTATGAGATCCCCTTCCCCAGACATAATCTTTGCAACATGCCCCCCTAGAAAACTTTAAAAATTATAGATTATACAAATCTGAACAAATATTAAACTGTTTGACGTAGTATTTCTGTTTATATAAGGCATTAGAAATAAATTAAAATAAAAGTGAACACAGAGAAAATTAATGTAATTACTCATTTTGGTACTAATGCTGCCGGTGAATTCAGTCGAAAACATTCGCTCGCTTTTCGGTAGGGAATAACTAACAGTAAGTGCCGCGATAGCTCAATCGGTACGGTGAAGGGCCGCGGGCTGGACGGCTGTTTTAATTCTGGGCAGGGGAAAGCTTCTTCTCTTCTATACAGCGCCCAGATGGGCCCTGGGGCCCATCCAGCCTCCTATCCAACGGGTAGCGGGAGCTCCTTCCCCGGCGTAAAGCGACCGAGGCGTGAAGCTAATAAGCTCCCCCCATATATTGTCGAGGTCAAGAATTGTGGACACCTCCACTCTCTCTCATGTATTCATTGCGTGGTAATTAATGGGCACAGGGCTAGCTTTATCTGTTTTATCTACTTATAATAATACTCGTAATAATAATAATAATAATAATAATAATAATAATAATAATAATAATCTATTTTATTTGGACCACGTCATAGTACTGTTTATGAGGCAAGCGGTAGAGTAGTTGGTTGAGGCACTATGTTACAAGAAGAAAGGTTTGCGGGTTCGATTCCCGATGAGGCCATTTGATTTTTCAATTGATTTAATCCTTACAGCCGCACTATGGCCCTGGGGTCGACTCAGCCTGTAACAGAAATGAGAACCAGGAATATTCCTGGGAGTAAAGGACTGCCGGTGCATAGGGCTGACAACTTTGCCGCCATCTGTGAGCCGACTGTCTAGAAAATATGCGAGCCTCGACGTCTCACAACCGTATGGGCTTCCTCTGCCTGTTACAGGGATACCTTTATCCTCTTTCCCTATATAGCCTACAGTACTATTAAATAAGTAGACCTACAATATACTAACTAGCCGGTCACGGTAGCCAAGCAGTCTAAAGCATGCACTGTCTTTGCGCGCTCGGGAGCCGGGATCGTGGGTTCGAATTCCACACAAGGCATGGATGTTCAGTGTTTATTTGTGTGTGTGTGTGTGTGTGTGTGCGCGCGTGCTAGTTTTTCTGTGTTTGTGTACAGGTAGAGGCCTTGTGACGAGCTGATCACCCGTACAAGGAGTCCTACAGAATGTCTAAGATCTAGTAAACCGAAGTGAAGCAGAGAGTTTCATGGAGCTAGGCCAAGGCCCAAAATTGGGCTGTAGAGCCAAAGGAAAATAAACAATAATAATATACTAATTAGAATGTTCAATTGTTCCTTATAGAGTATAAAGTACGCCGTTTTAAAAAATTCTTTTCAGAATTCCCTTTGCGTAATTAGAAATCATAACAATAGCACAATCACTCTTACACTCGCCTTTGATATGGAATTTTCCACCGTCTATGCTGCAAAACATACCACAACTTAGTGATGCCATTGTTAATAGACTGTTCAATAAACTCAGTTGCTTTGGAGGAAAACTAAACGTATTGCCCACATTATTAGTATGAGATGGCACTGCTGTTAGAGGGTTTACATGCATCGGAGATAAAGGAAGCCGTGACGGCCACCGCTCATGTAAAACCTCCACAGAAACGCTTGAGTTTCCAATTTTTTTTTTATTGCTAGTGGAGTGTGACTAAGTCCCTAGTACTGCGGCCACTTCTGGCCTATTGTACCAGCCCCAGATGATAGGTGAGGGTGACTGTGGAGCAATTTGTGGCATGAAGATTGGCAGGGGAAACCGGAGCACTCAGAGATAACCTGCCCCAGCGCCACTTTGTCCACCACAAATCCCACATGACCAGACCCGGGCTCGAAATAGGTCCGCCGCGGTGGGAAGCCAGCGACTAACCGCTTGAGCTATGGCGCCTTCTTTAAACCACTTCAAAATTAAAGCAAACAAATTGTCACGTTATGGACGATTTGTACTTCGGGAATACAAATCGCTAGGCTCAAAGCAGGTGCGCTGATTGGTAGGGTTGGGAAATGGTGTCTATTGACGTTTCGCCTGTCATGATGCGGTTCCAGACTGTGCTGAAGACAAACGCAATTACAGATGCTGCAGGTTAAGGCAAGCGAGAAGCCCACACCTCGATTACGTCAGCCTCTGAATCGTCAACAACAAATGATTACGGCAGGTGAGT